CAGACACCCTTAGCACCGGCTAACGAAGTGTTCATGAACGCTTAGCCGTGGCTAAACGCCCAAAACGTCATTGTATTCAATCACAGTATGGAGGGACTGTGATTCAATGCTCATTTGGAAGGTTTACTATTAAATTCATAACTATTCATTTCGGAATGCCATTGCCATCAACGCGAGGACATCTAGAGATATTGTTCTCGAGAAAGAATGTCGACCTATGATAAGAATCTGTGCTGCTTCCCGTCATTCTTCAGTCTACACTTTCTGGGTTTGCTTTGGTATTTTTCTGTAACCGTAGAACTAACATGTACACCGTTCTAGTTACTCGTACTGTACTGAGTAATCATAGTTAAAATGACTGAAGATTTGTGTATATTCTTAACAAGTTTGGGCGTTACTTCAGTTATACCGTGCTAACCACTATTTCCTACCGTACATGCGTGAACGCATTTAGTTCTATCCATGGAGGTAAAAGACTTTTACTTGCATGTTCTATCCGATATGCAAACATACAATATTAGCTTAAATTTTAGCCCGTAATTCGTGTAGCGTGAACACTACTATAAACGAGGTTTCTTTGATCATGGAGGTAAAATGTGTTGATCTATAGAATTAGATTTTATTAGACGACTAGTAGCTTCGCGGTAAGTGGCTTTCTCGTTAAGTGGGTTTCGTTATGGGTGGGTCTTGCGGGGAACAGGGCTTTGTCGAGGTAACTGGTCCTGTCATCGATGTTGAGAATTAAAGTTTTATGTTTCTTTAACAACTTGCGCTATTCTGGGAACACCATCCTTAGAAGCTATTATTTTGCCTTTATGGTTTGTCAGTGTTATTTACGAAAATATTTGTTTATAATTTTATAAATTGGCTTGGCAATTCCAACCCCAATTAGTTATAATGTGTACAAGTTTTAATAACAAAAATGAAATATTAATTATTTCATTATTTAACCTGCACAAAATTAATCAATATTTTTCCTTGCTAGAATGATGTGTAACTTCATATGGGAATCCTGATAAAGTTCACAGCTGGCGATTTAGCAATACCCGTATCAGGGATTGTCAACTTCTTGTGATTTTGATTACATAACGTTTTTAGGTTCATGTGCTGCATATTACAGAGCAAGTACCTAAGCGGCCGTTCCTGGGTAAACAATTAAGCCAAGGCAAGGCAATTCTCCGTTTTTACGCAATCTGGGAAGTTCGAATTACTAAATGAAGTACAGGACGACGAAGCTGAACTATCCAAGAACCAACACATACCAAAAATCAAAATCTCAAAAGTGAATATTTGGCAGGTAGGTCGTACCGTCACTGATTGGAAAAAAATCCTGGCCCACCACTGCCATTGCAATAGCCAAAAACTGATTTTTGAATACTTTCGCTCCAAATTTATTACCTCCTACCAGTTTTGTAATAGCAGTGTTCAAATGATCATGCTTTTTATTTTATCTATTTTGCGCACTGGTCAGATATCACTGGCGCCGACATTGTTACACTGTATCAACGTAATCCTAATGAAACTTTGAATGAACTGTAAATGCTGCCTTCGTTCTAGAAAATACTATCGCAAAACGGTTGGAAATATAAATGTAACAGCAGAATACGTCCTAGTAATAAACTAAGTGACTAAAGACTGAATGTTTTTTGCGAACATCGTATACGGGACCCATTTAGTTATAAACTTACGCTATTGATTAACGGTCATGTTCTACCATGGAAACAGCCAAAAACACTTACTTGTCAGTGTCTGACTGTTATATACAGCCCAGAACACGCCAGAATAGTAAAAAAAGTCAGGAAATGTCAGTTGCCCGTGCCTTGAGAGCCGTTGAACCAAAACAACCTGTTACCCTTCGCCGCCCACAGCATCCATATGATTTTATATTGCATAGAAAAGAACACTAAATGCAGCTATCCCGGTCAGCAATCGAATGATCAATCTTCATGATTTATGCAACTGGTATTTCCATCTATCTGAACTTTAAAATTGTCAAGTTCGGAATGTGTTTTTACGTACAGTGACGCGAACATTCAACAACGTGTTATATGTGATTTGAACTTATTATATTTTATTTACTTTTCAAAATTCTTACTAACTTGTTATATTTTATTTTATTTATCTGTATTGATTAATATTCCTATTGCTATATACTGAAAGAAATGTATATTTCTAAAGATGCAATAAACAATTACATTTGTATTATTATATTATTCGACAACGTGTTGAACAAGAAGTACATCTTGGGCTAGTGGCATTGCAAAATTTTAGAGAGTACAGGAAATGTTTCAGTAAGGAATTGTTATGCATATGAAAATCCTTTATTGGAACAGAACATGTTATACTAGTATATTCCCCCAAAACAACGTTGCTATGTTTCTAGGCGTACAACGAATTCGAAACAAAAGAAATTGTCCGATCCAAACGACCTGTGGCGGATCCAGCAAAATGTATTGGGGGGGGGGGGAGTCCAAGCTTCGCTTAAGATATACGGAGGGAGCGTAAATCGCAGCTATGCGTAATCCAGATGATATGAATCGTCATGCGTTGGGGGGGGGCATGGCCCCACTGCCCCCCGGGTCCGCCACTGCTGCGTCCTTGAGAATCTAGTCTTATCGCCTTTGCCTTTCGAGCGAAAAAAGGTTGAGGCCAAAAACAGGATAGGTTATTTACCAAATCCAAAATTTAGCGTGAATGCCTGCTACCTCAATTAGATTAAGTAATTGAAGGTAAAAACCGTGTATGCTATGAGTAGGACATCGACAGCCACGTTATTGAAGACAAATGAACACGCCAGGCAAAAAAGACTGTTTCGAGTCGTGGGTACATTGGAGGCACATACCATTTTGACTCTTGAGGGGAATGGAAACCAGTTGATTTGAGGGTGTCACAATAAGCGAGGTAGTAAATCGTTTTTATGCTACGACAAAATGCAAACCTTGAACATACTTTTTGGACTTTAGTACAACGTAATTTTTGTTTGATTACCTAACGTTTTTAGGTCCATGTGCTGCAATTTACAGAGCACATACCTAAGCGGCCGTCCCTCAGCAAATACTGAAGCAAAGGCATTTTCGATGCGGAAATCGCGAAACTCGCCCTTTTTACGCAAACTGGGAAGTTCGAATTACTAAACGTACAGGACGACGAAGATGAAATATCCAAGAATCAACACATACCAAAAATTATATCTCAAAAGTGAATATTCGTGGTGTATTTTAAGTCTAACCGGACCATACATGCTAATGTGCTAGTACTCTAATTATCCAAACATATTTTAGTATTAGGTAGTAATAATTATCCGATAATGATTTAAATGACATTGTCGCGCCTTTCATGGAATTAGGTATATCACCACTAAGTGTGTACGATGTTGAATGCTGTTATACTTCCTGTAATTTAGTTCTAGGGTGACTGTATTGTCTATTTCGCATCGTCTAAAAATAAATGGTTAATCTGTATCCTTTTGGTTACTTCATGCATGGATGTACTAAGATTAGTACATCCATGCTTCATGCGTGAGGGACTGAATGACGGTAATAGACGATCTCACAAATCAGTGTTGACATCAAGATATGAATACTGAATGGTGTGTTTGGAATGAACAACGTGGAGAAGTATAACGAGTAGTTTGATGGAATTTTCCAACAGTCATAAGCAGCTCTCACCTCTATCTGAAATGGAGTCATATGCAAATGTGACATTTAATCACACAACCATCAGATGTTAAGCCAAATCACAAACCGATCGATGAGCTCTATTTATACCGGTGTCCGCCAAACTCGGCCCAATAAGGACTCGGCCGATGTTAGACTCGGTCGGTTTATGTGGGTGTTAATGGTCTGAGAGTGTTGTGGTAAAAAATAAAATACTGAATGTGTTGTTGATTTCAGAATGGAGCTAGCTCCATGATTTCAGTGACGCATCAGTGCTGTGTCATATCACAGTAAAAAAATAAAATACACGGCGATCAGCATTATTGCAATGTCTGTGTTTCCATGTAATGTCAGTGTCTTTTTGTAAACTTGCTCACTGAAATCGACAGCAGTCAAGAAAATTATTGAAATCGACAACATGTCAGGTAAACAGTAGCGTTGTTGGGCGTGTTGTGTGGCATATATTTTTTTGCAAACTTGTCAAGTGTTACTGACCACTTCACACTTCGGCGATTACGATTACAAGCCGAATTACAATGTAGCCCGCTGCCGACATCGACTGTATTCCTATTATACCTACCGTTGCCGAATGCCACTCTATATTCATTGTTATCACCGAACCACCGGAGACACCACATAATATAACACTGTTGGCACCACTATAGCACCAGCTGCAGCCTTCATAGTCTTCTAAAGACAGGTAAGAATATATTCGTTCTTGTCGAAAATAATGTCACACTGGCATTACTGCACTTCGCTAAAAGTATTGAAACTCGCATTATGTACCATCATGGATGTACTAAGAAGTTAGTAAGTTAGTAAGTCAGTTAGTTAGTTAGTAAGTCTTAGTACATCCATGGTACCATACAGTCCTCGACCCCAGTTAACTCGGCCCCCATATAAGTGTAGGTATTGTCCATATGTCGGTGAACATTGTAAAATAGGTAGATTTCGCTCGCTTTAGTGTACGTAAGTTAGTGAAATCAACAATTAGCCATTATGGCATTAACCATAGCGCACACGATGATATCTTAAGTAGGTGAAATCGACAACGCAGTGTGTCACCGACACTGCCAATACCAATATGGGGGTCGAGTTGACTTGGGGTCGCCCTCCGTGACATTCCCGATATATCTGCTGCAGTATCTATTGACGCATAACCTCATTGTTGTTCCGAGCCCTGGCGTGATCGCCGACCCAAATAATACTTTTCTCTTCTATATTATCAACACTATGTTATTACACATTCTGTATAAATACTATATCGTCGACTAGTAAAATTCTGTTTTATCACAGGTATATTAACTAATTCTCTATCAGTGAGCTGTACAATTAGAAATCGAAATGGACAAGACAGGTAATTTGCTTTCCAATTCAGTGTGTCACGCTATATTGTCATGGTAGAACATTGATACTGCAGTTGTTCGTGCAAAATATGTCCGATGTATCCCTTTACTACCGGCCCTATCGTCCGAATCCGGTTTGGCGAACTGGATTTAAACTTAGTGGTGAGGGTTGGCCTATTCACGGAGTTCCACACCCAATTAATCAACATATTGTCTTTAAATTTGCCTGGCGGAGATTTATTTATAATGTCAGTAAACATTAGTGTCATGCATAACCAATGATTTAAATTACATGCATCGTATTGACATTCTTACTTACTAGACTACGAATACCTTGTCATTGGCGGCGGACCAGCTGGTCTCCAAATGGCGTACTTCTTGGAAAAGGCAAATAAAGACTACATCGTATTGGAGAGAGATGGTGGAGTAGGCTCTTTTTTTGTAAGATATCCACGCCATCGAAAGTTAATATCTATCAACAAAAAGTTCAACTATTTCCCTGAGAAAGAATACAATCTTAGGCACGATTGGAACTCGCTGCTTAGTGATGAAGAAGATTTGCTGTTCACGAATTATACAAGCGAGTTATTTCCTAATGCAGATTTGCTCGTGAAGTGAGTTAACATTTGTTTTATGAAATGTATGCAGTAATAGAATGATGCATGTATACATGTAAGACATGCAGGCGAGGATTTCAATGTATTGTGACGTTTTGAGAGCGATTTTTCTTCAAGCTAGTACACTTCGTAATCAACTTGGTGACGCACTTGATTTCTCCGCTGCTGCCAAGCTCCGGACCAAGCATAGTCACTTCAAATCAGACATGATTTCTGTATGTGTATGTGTACAAATGGGAAGGTAATTTTATTAACATTCGAACATTTTTGGTAATGGTGGAAAATATATTTTATATATTTGCTATTTACTTCTGGTAGATATCTTGTCAATTCATACAAGAACGAAAATCATGACCGAGGTGTTAAATTTTGAATGGTTCACTATTCCTAGTCACCATTGAAACAAACACTGAAATTGTTATTTTATTTCACACCTTAGATACATGAGAGACTATGCAAAGAAATTCAATCTCAATATTCGTCTAAATACCACAGTAACAAACATCCATCGGGATCCAATACTAAAAGGCAAATATCGATCTCTCTACACAATTACGGAACAGAATGGAATGAAATATACATGTAAAGTACTACTTATGGCAACTGGTGCTGCCATGCCAGACAAACCAAAGATTGAAGGTGCTGAACTATGCGACACTTATCAAAAACACAGTCTTGACAAGAAATTATACGAAAATAAGAAGGTGTTAATTCTTGGTGGAGGGAACAGTGCTTTTGAGGTAAGTGTACTACTAGTATGCAACAATTTCTTTTAATTACTGGCACTATTTAAAAAGTCAAAATTTGGTATCCTCACCTGATAAGATACAACAGTAGAAGTGCTGCAAGCTTAGCAAATTGTTTTCAACTCATTGCATTTTCTTGTTAGGTTGCAGACCATATTTCCGACAGTGCTGCACTTATTCACATGTGTACTCGAACACCGGTGATATTTTCATGGGATAGTCATTTTGTTGGTGACCTCCGAGCAGTAAACAACAACATCCTAGACATGTACCATTTAAAATCATTACACGCACTTCGTCAATGTGACACAAAACAGTTTGTAAAAGAAGAAGATGGTAGATTCACTCAGACATTTGAAATGGAGCTTCCCCATTGGAATCCACCTGGCACAGCCACTTTCACCAGCAAAGGTTATGACAGTGTAATTCTAGCAACTGGGTGGAAGTTTATAAATATTGACATGTTTGATGAAAGTTGTAAACCAGGTAGGAAAATAGCTTTCATGCAAATTGACGGAAGAGAATTGTCTATCCTTATAATGCACTCACATTTCTTCATGTGACATAGCTGTTGCAACTGTCCACATAATCAAAATGAGGTGCTTGCTGATTGAATAGAGTTGAACTATCTTGTTAATTATAACTAATGATTAATAATTTAATAATTTTTAGTCCCCGTCTGGACGCAGTCCGAAAACAGGGACTTATGGATTGACCTCTGTGCATCCGTAACTATATCTTAGACATGCCTGGACCATTTACATTCAAACTTCACACATACATCATACATAATATTATACATATGCACATCAATTTGATTCATGTTGTGATTCAAAATGGCTAAATAGCGGCCATGTTTGTGCTAACAAATCATCAAATATCAAGCATTTCTGGCATTTCTTAATGGATTTTGTTCAAACTTACATACATTAGACATTATGGGTTTCTGATGCACGTCATTTTATTTTTCAGATCGAATTTAAAATGGCCGACTGGTGGCCATTTTGTTTTAATGAATGCAGTTCTAGTGCCATATCTCTGCCATTTTGACTGATTATGTTCAAATTGTATATACAGGGGTTTCACAAATGCATTTATTAGCAGGCCATCATCCTGTAACAGCAGGCCAAAAAAATAAATAAAAAGGCTCTGGTCAGTGCGAAGCACTGCAGCGAGACCAGTGTAGCCGATCGGGAGCAGAGAGTAGACAGCCAATTTGGGCTTGTAGCAGGCCATATGGCTGACGGCCTGCCCTTAATGAAACCCCTGATATACTCATTATACATCATGACATAGATATACAGATATATTGGTTTGACTATCTGATTCAAAATAGCTAAATGGCGGCCATTTTTGTGCTGAAAAAATCATCAAAAATCAATTGTTTGTGGCATTTATGGGTTGATTTTGTTAAAACTTCACGTCACTTTATTTTTCAGATTAGATTCAAAATAGCTGACTGGCGGCCATTTTGTTTTAATGAATGGGCTTCCAGAGCCATATCTCTGACATGCTTTGACTGATTATGTTCAAATTTTATATATTCATTATACAGTATGTTATAGATGTATTCAAAATGGCTGATTTTGTTTTAATTAATGCTGTTCTAGAGCGATATCTCTCAATATGGACAAGTTCTCATTTGACGATCAGATACAAGATGTCGATCATTATAAACAAAACTATATATCTTAAATTCAATAACTAACGGGGACTGTGCCATACATGGCTTGTTTTATTAACACTTACACATTCCCTGGAATGATTGGCAATGGTTACAAATGTTTTAGAAAGAATAAAAGGTTGAAAAAAAACTAAGCTAGTACCGGTACATTACAAAAAAAAATAATAATATTAAGACTAAATTATTATTATACTATAAAACTAGCAGCCTGTCGGCTGAGATAGCTCCGCTGTTATTAATGCACATTTCAATTAAAGAACTGAAGATATCATCAGAAAATGAACAATATGTATAGTATTAAAGCAATCAGACTTGCTGTTTTCAAAAAAAATTTTAATATATAACTTTTTATCAAAAATATTCATTAAAATTATTGAAGAACAAAATCATCACGAAATGAACAAATCTGAGAGAGGTAGACCTGTAGTACCTATGTAGTATACATGATATCAAAACAATTAGACTTGCAGTTTTTAACAAGAAGTCGAAAATATCACTTTTTACAAAAAATGACAAAAATATTCATGAAAATTAGTGAATTAAAGATATCATCACAAAATGAAAAAATCTGAGAGAGGTCCACATTCACAGCTATACAGTTTGTGGTTTTTAAGAAGAAGTCGAAATTGTTAAGTTGACGACAGTGGCGCCAGCGACGACGGACAATCAGTAATACTATAAGCTCCGCTCGACTTCATCGACAGCAGAGCTATAGATAGAAAACAAAATGCAAAACTTAACTGTGAAAGAAAATTGTCACTGGGGTTGCCGTCTTATTTCAAAACACTTCTTTAGGTATCTTGCTACAGGAAGTGTTAGACCACTGTTGTTTAGCACGGCCATGAATTTTGTTGTTGGTGATAAATTTGATGATGTCACAATACCATTTCTGGATTGGCCAATTTGAATTCAAACAGCCATTTGGATTTATAAAAATGTGTATTTATAAAATGTTCATAACAACCATAGCTTTGTTTTTCACTGCACCATACATAGATAAAGAACAATAAATTGGTTCTTGAAGTAAATTCATTCAAGAATTATCAAGTATTTTTTTTATGTATGATTATTTATGTTTACAAACATGGCTGACAAAAAATAAATGTCTTGATGAATAAATTTGTTTTAACTAATAGATAAACAATACATTTTTACTTGTTTAACAGAAACGCACACTGATGGCAAGTTCATAGTATTGGATGAACACTGGGAGACAACTGTACCAGATATGTTTTTTATTGGTACTGCCATGCAGTCCCGGGATCACAAAGCAGCTTCTGGTTTTATTCATGGCTTCAGATACAATATCCGAACATTGTTTCACATGATGGACATGCGCTATGATGGAGGAGACCTAGCTAAAAAGATATTCCCATCAATTGATGCAACAGAGTTAGCAAATTTTATGACACGCAAGTACATTATTTAATATATATAACACTAACTGTAAAATACCGGTACATCTAAATAACTCGCCTATATTATCTAGGGAAGAGGGTACTTCATGCAAAATGTAATATTTTCCAGTGATGCCAAATATAATATATACACATACACACTTTTAATAACGATCAATGTTGAAATTGTAAACTTTTTCAATGTTCGTATTCCCCATGTATAAAATATAAAAGTAAAGTTTATTTTATCTATAGATCATGTAAGTATTTCATCAGCTCTCTATCAGCTTGGACAAGGATTTCTTTGTGATGTCCTAGTGCTGAAACCAGAAGAAGCTGCCAAAAGTGGTAGGTACTTATTTATTTGTTTTTGATACTCTGCAAACATGTATAGGTAAATAGTCAAAATGATTACAGATAGTGTACTGTGAAATACTTTATTTTAGCTGGAATTAATTTATGATGAAAAGACATTTTGGCTGTCTTGTATAAAATTTATTTTACTGATTTTCAGTTGAATGTAAAATCCAGGAAAAAATGTATTTTCTCTGGATTTTATTTTCACTGATTCATTCCTAACAGAAAAATAAATTCCAAGATGGTTTTATTTTCAGATTGCAGTGAACAAATGGCAGGTGTGGCAGAGTATTATTATGAACTTCCCCAAGCATGGGTGTTGAAGAATGATTACTTCATGAACCAAGCACACATGATTATTATTACAATTGAAGACAGTCACCACATGTGAGTATATATTTCTCAGTGAAATTTATTCTTTTTCAAGTAAAATAATAAACATTTTTACTGAGAATTTATATTTGGGGAAGTCAACTTTGAAAACCTGTTTTATTCTTTATATTTTGCATTTACCCATCATGAATTAGTAAAAAAATTACTGACAAACAATAATTAATTCATCAATTGTTTTCAGAGAAAACAAGTATTACTGTAAAATACTGAAGGAATGATTCAGTGAAAATAAAATCCCGCGAATATACATTTTTTCCTATATTTTACATTCAACTAGTCAAACATCAGTGAAAATAAATTCCATACAAAACACCCAAAAAGTCCTTTCAGCGAAAATTAAATCCAGCTAATATAAAGTATCTTACAGTACCTAATTTGCATAAATTAGCCAATTTTATTTGCTCCACATATATCTTTAGTACCGTACCTCATCAGATCAACATCAGATATAAGCAGAAGTGTGCAAAACAAGTCCCCTCTGTTCTTGTACTATAATATATGACAAATGAAATGCCTGCATTTATATGCCTCTTTTTGATCTTTTTGGACTGCCAGACAATTTAACATGAGTCTCTAATGTCAATGTTGACAAAATGTAAAACATGTATCACAATTTCAAATTATAGTGCATTGTAATATAGTTATGTCATATTGTTCTTTATGACTAGTGGAGTTATTTTTTTCTGTCATAACAATACCACAATACACTATGGTTTGGAATTGTGATATGGTCCATGACTGCCAGTTGGTTGAATGTTGGATCGTAGTGTGACATACGTTTCAACCTAATTGGAGAGCTTGAATTTGAGATATAAGCCAAAATGTGTGAATAAGAACAAAAACACAATAGCAACCAGGCAACTGTGACATAATCAACTTTCACTGATGTGCTAGTACACAATTGTCTGTGAACCAAGTTTGGACATATCGGTAACTGGACATTGTGAATTTGAGATATAAACAGAATTGTGCAAGAAACAAATTGCTGATTTTTGTCAAACAAAATGGCTAATGGTGAGCAATATTGCTCAAAAAATAAACTTGCATCTTCATGCATATACTGCCTCTGTACCAAATCTGAATAAACTTAGTAATTGTATTCTGAAGTTATAAGGAAAAATGAACAAAAATAAGTATTTTTGATGAACAAATGAACACCTGTCCACCAATTTCGAAATAAATAATGTGCCTTAATATTCTAATTTAGACTATTTTGGAGTCAAACATGGCTGCCAGTTCGCCATTTGAGTTGAATTAGCAGCACAATTTTGAAAATCTGGGGCATATGTATACCGTAATGTATCAAGCCTGTACCAAGTTTTGGAAAAATCAGTCCATGAATAATGCAATGTAACCCAGTCCAGTCTGGAGCTAAAAAGATGTCATACAAAAATAGCTGCCAGTTAGCCAAATCTTGGATGTGTTAAACAATACACTGCCTCTTTGCCAAGTTTGTAAATTGTATTATCAAGTCATAAGCAAAAGTGACCAAAAATAAGTATACCATAATCAAGTATCAACTATGTACAAATAAGTCTGTGAACCTCTGAGAAATGCAACAAACAAATAAATAGACAAACAGACATGTACCCATTTATTGCATAATAATGGTGTATTTTTAGTGTACTGTTGGAAAATAACTTTATTTTATAAATCTCTCCTAGGTTCCCTTCAACAAGTGCAACGGAATTCTTCAAGCCTGGTGATATGAACCCCCGTGACTGTAAGTGTACAGCTTTCCCACAAGGTGTGTTCTATTCCTACAGATGTGGCAAATTGGAAGAAGTAGTGCATATTGGTGGGTCCTTGGTTGTCAGAGCTGATAAGAAAATATTTGTTGGCGATACAAACCCAGACAGGTTTACCAACAAGCTAAAAAATCTGTTTAATAGACAGGTATGTATATGGATACACATTTTCACTTTGAACCACAACATTGTAGTACTTTTAATGTATGATTAAAGTGCTACAGTCATCACACTACATCATGTTCAATGTGGGTATATAATACATATGACAAATGTGGTGATTTATAATAGTGAAATTATTGAAGTCACTGTACTTTTTGAAAATGTATATATAAACCTGCATGTATGTACCTTACCAAATATTATTCTGTACATAGATTGGAATTGGATCTGGAGACCACTATGAAAGGCTCTTCCCACCGGAGGAATGGGAGAAAGTCTACAGACCATGGACAGAAGAGGAAGTTGAGATGAGAAAGATGAAAGAGATAGCAATGAAATCAAGAAAATTTGAGTGCAAATTGGGAATTCTTGACTGAATCTCACAATAAATAATAAATGGCAATTAACATTTATTTAAAATCTAAAACAGAACAGAATACAATGTCAGATCAATATATTAAATGAAATTTTTGTTAGTAAATGAACATTTCTCACACCAGAAGTTAACAAAGCTAGAAAATTGATGCAGTTAATACTTTTTTTTTTCAATTTTTACTTCTATTATTTGTCTAACAAAATTATTTAAAAAAAACAAACATTATTATTGAAACATACTTTTTCTTTCTTGTAGATTATGAATATGAAAGCTTTGTTATAAATATGATCAACTTTTGGGTAAAAGGTGTCATTCTTGTGACAGTAAACTTCCTACACCTTCCTCCTTAAGACACAGCACAACTTACATACCTCACTGACAAATTGAGAAGCATTCAAGAATTATCAAATGTATAGTAATGTATCTATAAAAACTGTATCTGATGTTTCCCACCCTGAAGGTGCCATAGTCAGGATATCTACCTACAGAGCATAAATGTCAGTTTTGATATTGTTTAATCTCTCTTTGACGTATCTTTAACCCTTGAATGATCGTTAAAGATTGTCAAAAAATGAACTACATCTCAGATCATAATTATAGGGGATCATTGACAACTTGCACAAAAGTCAAGTCATGGATTACACATATGCTAATCAGCGACCTTCTGACCAATGACAGTAAGGTCTTCCGATGAATCTAAGTCATTTTTACACAAGGCCAGGCCCCTAAAAATAATGTATTAAATATTTTGGGAGATATCAAGTTGGTTTGCTCAAAACTGAAACTGCAAGACACTGAGAGACACAGAGATATTGTGCAATGCTATGTTGGAAAAATATACATCAAAGGTGTGAAACATTCTAAACTTTTGTGGAATTTTTCATAATAAATTTTTCCTGGTTCTCAGAGATGCAAACTTCAACATCATTCTAATTTGTTACAACAATCATTGAGGGAAATATTGCTTTATCTAAAGTGAAAAAAAAATGTGTATACAATAAAATCTTAATAACCTTTGAATAATTTACCTAAACTTTCTATTGCGTTGACCTACTTTAACTGATCTCCTTAAGCAAGAAATATTGTTGATTGTGTGATTCACAGTATATTGATATTCAGGGAGTTTTCTTCTTGCTTCACAACTTCTAGAACATTTCTTCACGAAGTAAGGATAAACAAAAAAAGAGATGAGTTTTCAACATCATTAAGAAGAATAACTGTAACTGTGGTCAGTTATATATGATATTCAGTAAAATTTAGTACTTACATCTTCTAGTTGTTGATCTTGTATCATATTTTGCTTGGGACTAATCCAGAAATCATCTTCTGTGGATGATTCCCTCTCCTCTGTGTTTCTGGAAACTAATATACCATAAAATACTTTATTTTAGCTGGAATTAATTCACTGACTTGTGACAAGTTGAATGTAAATTATAGAAAAAAGTATATTTGCTAGATTTTATTTTCACTGACTCATTCCTTTAGCAAAAATAAATTCCAAGCAATAATAAATCATACAGTAAACAAACAATTGATAAATGAATTAAATTATTGATAAATTAATAAAATATGTGCATGTTTAAATATGTGCATGTTCAACTACTGTAAAACAACATTTCATAAAATGCAATGCAAGAATTAAGTGAATATTAATTTCTTTTAAATTAGCTACATCTTGATTAGCAAGATTACAGATTACATAAAAGAACATGCTAGCTATAAAGACGTGTTTTACAGTATCTTGTTCAAAACAAACAAAAGATTTATTGAATTATTAAAGGAACACTTCACTAAGAAAAATGAATACCTGGAGAACACGGCATCAGCAAAGAAAATAAATTTTCCTGTGAACTCTCTTCTGAATCTGAATAATAGTTTGCTGTTGATAAAATGTTACTGGTTTGCTTGTTTTCTGCAAAAATTATAAAATTTATACTTCAGTCAGTGTTTGGTTAATAAAGGTATTACAGGGTGTGTTCCTGTTAACCTTTTCACCACCAGTTCCTTCTTTCCATCACAAATCCACAGAATAGTCCGGTTTATAGTCTACACTATCCTTCCGAAGATTGGGACAAAAATAAACAAATAAACTAAAATCATGTCAGTGGCTCCAAAATTAGAATTCATTTCCAGAAATACTGAAGAATATAAAAAAAAAAGTGCTGAAAAATTTAGACAAGAAAGTCTGGTGGTGAAAAGGTTAAGGCATAGCGCCCTCTGTGCCAGACAATGGAAAATGTGAACTTACCTTGAATAAGTTTATGTTCAGCAGGTGTGCTCTTTGCAGAAAAGTTATGTTGGTCTCTTCTCACTTGTTTGAATAGGAGATGCGAAATACTATCAGACTTGTTTGAGTTATTGACATTTAATCTTAATACAGTTGGTGTCATTTTTTGTTGTTTTGCTTGTCTAGTGATAAGTTCTATTTCCTCATTTTCGGAATCATCCTCGGTCATCTGCATTCTCTGGTCAAAATTGCTGCTTCTTCTGTATTTCTTAATAGGTGGTTTCACTTCACTCTTTCTTTGTTGTACAATATCTACAAGAGAAGTGTTTCTTTTTAGTGGCTTCCTACTAGCAGCAATGTTCATTGTTTTATCTACTGTTGTACTATAGTCGTCTTCTTGATATGAATAAACATCTAGGTGTGGCTGTAGCAAAACCCCTCGTTTTCCACTATTCTGTCTGCTCCTACTGGCAACAGTAGGGAGTACTGTATGGTCTTTAACTCTCTGTTTTGAGCTGATTCGTTTTGATCTTCTAATTTGTTCACTAGTCTCGTTTCTTCTTTTCTGGAACTTTTTTTGTTTTCTACCACTTGTAGGATTTGTTCCAACTTGATGTTCAAGCTGATCAACTATATAATCAGGAACATCATCAATAACTTCTTCAGTTTTGTCAAAAGAAGGCTGCTTGACTTGTGGCATAACAGTTGCAATTGGTGACTGCTTATCTTTGGCTTTACCTGCTTGATACCATCTATTGTTTTCGCTATGAGGGGATATGACATGCAGAGGATGAACCATACTTTTGTTCATTTGAGGTACTTGTTGACATTCATTTTCCATGAATTGCTCCCCATTGCCATGTTGTTGAGGATTTAGTGTTTTACTTGGTATGGTTTTCAAATAAGCTTGATTTTGTTCAATGTTAGTTGTATTTCTAGAGTGATTAAATGGGACCTGATGGATGTTGGACGTAGTCTGATATGCAGAAATATACTTAATGGGTTGTACTGTTTGTACGTCTTGGTGTTGTACATTGTTCAAATACTTGGGTGGTTCATCACGTTGCCATCCTTCATAAGACTGGTGCATACCATTGCAGCATGGTACACTTGTCTCCATGGCAACAGAAACAGGTATATTACATTTCGTGTTTCTAACACTTTGATTGCAAGCATTGTTTTCAGCAGCACTCTTCTCATTATATGCCAAAGTGACAGATTTCTCTTGTTGTAATATTTCTAGATGTTCTCGATTAAGCTTTTGTTGTTCATTATAGGCATCTTTGAGCTTTTGAATGACGTCTTCATGCTGTTGTTTTTGACACTCATCTAATTGAGAATGAAGCAAGTCTATTTTGGCATCTTTCTAAACAGAGAATAAAAATGAACATTTCAGAATATATTGATTTTAGGAAAGATTTTTACAATATCATGCATGCAGACTTGCATAGGAGAACTGCATGAACACAATAAACTATTTTCAATATTAACACCCCTCCCCCAATGTTATGGTGATTATGCGTATCAGTAAATTCATAGCGCATCAGCCATTTTTTTCCATTTTAATTCAATAAAAGTATGCCCTCTATGGTAAAAATTGCAGCTGTGTCTCGGAAGGTAGTACTGTAAACCAGTTTATTTTGTTGAAGCAAAATTTTCGCAAGTCAGTGAAAATCATGAACTCTTGTAGCAGTGACAATTTGTTCTGGAGTTTTAGCAACTTTAAAATAATTTTGTATTTACAAATACATAAAATCACAAAAATTAAGCAGCTTGCAGTAAATATTTTTCATATGTCACAGTTCTGTCAAATTTATTGGAGGTTACAGTTGCCATCATTGGTATTTAGTCCCACATTCAAAAAAAGCATGAGTGAATGGAAATGGAAAGTATGGAAAAATAAACATGCATTAGTAAATTGACAGAGAAATTATAAAACATGCAAATACATATATAATATACAACTGTGTGTTTTATGCAACTGTTGAATGGGCATATAATAAACAAATAGTTACAAAAGTGAAGGTCAATATTCAGTTTCAATGATCAGTAGAGGAAATTGTTGGCCAAGGTCAAAAGTTCCTCTGAGGGTCATTGAAACTGAATATTAATTGATACTGGGGTAACTATGCATTTTATTATAATTGGAGTCTGTCGACATAATTGTTTGTAAGCAACTACGCATGTGCAAAAATGATATCACTGGGTTTTCATTACTCAATAATTTTACTGGCCACCACATGATCTGACCAAACAGTCAAGTGTGATGATTTTGCACATGAGGTATAATAATATGAGGTTATTATGAGGATACCTAAAAGTATGCACGAAGACAATACAGCTGGAGTATCGACCGATGCACAGCGGAGGTCAATATCGCAAAATTACGGCACGCTGTAACGTATGGCGTTATGGTGACAGATGTATAATAATATTATTTCTTGCATGAAATTTCATTCAGATACTAAAACTTACAGCAGCAATAATATTTTCCATTTGTTGTATTTTCTGTTTCTCTTCATCTCTTGCATTGAGTGCTTCCAGTAGTGTCTTATAATGCATAAATAAGTCTTCATTCACTATGAAGAAAAAAAGGAGACCATCCAGCAATTATTGTGAGAACATAATAAACCAATTAAGCTATCAATCTATGATTTGATGATGCTAAAAACATGCATTTTCGAAAACAGATAAATTAATCAATTTTCTAATACTTTTGCTAAGAAATCAATAAATTATAAAGTCACAATTAGCATATTGCAAAAATTGATTTTTTAAGTCCTATTTTTAAATCCTATTTACCGGTATGGGAATTTTTAGCAACCAAAAATCAAATCAGACGTATTGTGCTATTTATTGACTAAATTATTGTCTTGACTACAGTAAATCTAGACATGCATTGCTGTTGAATTCTTCTGTGATTGCCTACTAAATGTACTGTAAATGTCAAATTTGATTGGATGCAGTTGTAACTTAAATTCAAAGGGAAGAGACCTATTAATGGCTATGCAGAAAACAACTCAAGTCTGGTACGTATCCCCAACTATCCTAATGAAAAATGCTTCACATTGAATACTAATTTTGTACTATATAGTTCACTTTAGATTGGAATTGCTCTGTGGTGTTCTTGTACTGGCAAGAAACTCTTGAATAAAATGGTTGTATGATGTGTATTATGAAATTTTAGTGGTACACAAACCTCCCAATTACCACAAGATTGTAATAACACACAAAATTACTCTGCCATTGTGTACTGATAGCTACACACTGAAATTGTTACAGAATTGCAAACATACTAGATTGATTAACAATATCTACAATAATTTTGGTCATTCATACCTTTGCTGATTAACTTGGCAAACCGTTCAGTTCCATTGGTCATTCCATTGTCAACAGTCTCCTTTATTGTCTCTGTAGCTGACTTCACTTCCTCAACACATGTTTTAACTCCAGCAAATATTCTATTTATCAAGTCTCTACAGTAATAATATTTAATTTTCAAATTAGAAGACAGCGCCCTCTAGAGACTTAACTAAAAAGAGAGTGGCATAAAGCATCCTAACTAAAACTACTTTTGTATATTGTATGAAAAGGATAAAATACATTAATGGCTTTTTGATTTGTTATTATTATAGCGACAATGATTTGACAGTCGAATTTGTAGATACATGTACTTACCTTTCATCTCTCTCCTTTGCTTTTTGTTTATTAACTTCTAATTGATCTACATAGTTTACATTCACATTATTTGTTCTTGTGGTTTTGGTTTTAGGATTATCCTTTGAGAATAATGGCGGCATTGACATATACTTGAGATGATATTTGGATGTGTCACTGTTGGACTGTATAAAAATATAGTAAATCAATGAACAACATTGAAAAAAATTGGAGGCAAAATTATCTACAAAATCAGCACCAATCACCACAGTAGAATAAACATAGTAATTTTATTGCTAACAGAAAGTCCACTGGCAATCCAGAGACTTACAACAGATATAACACATAATTGTATGAATGACTGAGTTTGCATCAATAGAAATTTGGCCATATATGAAATTTCCAAAAAGTCTTTGAGTGGCTGAATATTAAATTGTAACAAAAAATCACACTTTCGTTGTTTTTTACTATGTTTGCACTTCAGAATCGCTATGTTTCAATTACTATCACAGAATAATGATTCAGATATTACTCCGGCAATTGTATTATATGTATAATGCTAGTATGTTCTCTGCTGCTAAAAAGATAATTTCTTACCTGCTGCTGGGATAGTCTCTGAGAAAACAATTCAGATGAGCTAGTCTGAGAATTTTCATACTGTGAATTCATCTGTTGGGAATTATTTTGACTGTATGCTTGAGTTGACAATAAAGCAGAATCTTCCCAGTCATTTGCAAAACGAGTATTTCTCAGGTATTCTCTGAAAGTAAAGTATTAGGTTTAGCTATTAAAGATTTTTAGTTTACCAACTGTATTTTCTGGCTTCTGCAAAGATATTGTAAAAACAAAAACTGCAAAATTACTCTATAAAACAAGTCCCCATCAATGATGCACTAGTAGTTGTATTTTGTTGCATTTGATTAGAATAAACAACAGGAAGAAGGAATAATATCAAGAAAAGTTCATTGCGACAAAAACAATTGGTATGCACATAAAATCATTTTGAACAATTAGATGATTTTCAATGCAAGATCTTTTAGTGCGTGAACGACACAAATCAAATGTCTGCCCCAAGTATCAACTGATTTTATTTTGAATTTGAATATCTTATTTCATAATATCAGGAAGAATGTTGGCTGTTTGCTAACAATTAATTTCTGATCCATGTATATTGCAAATACTGTAACTTTTGCATTTTCTACTAGGCACATACTAGTTCATACGTCAAATGCAAACAAAATATATCTGATAATACAGTTTTATACTCTGCAATTGGTATGACCACAGGGATGTGGTATTAAGTATAGCATTTGTTTGTCTCAAGATTTGTGTCTGTGACCCCAATAGTTTTTCGCAAGTGAACTTGTGTAGCAATAAAAACTTTCATAAAATTGCCACCGTTAACAAAATTGTCAACCTCTACAAATTAGTGACATAGCCCAACAAATGCTTCGTTCACCCTAAACAAAAACAGAACAAAAAATACATTCTCACCCTGGATTTGTCGTATACAAGTCTCTTGTGCTAACCTGATTCAGCAACATTGTTACTCTCACCTCTACAAAATGATAGCTGTACTTGAGAAAATTGAATGAATCTGAAACCAAAGTCACGAGAGTTAGAAACTGAAAACCATGTTACTTGCAACCAAACGACAACAAAATGAAATGTCGTCATGCTTCATTATTTAATTTAAAAATAATGATTATAACACAAAAATATTGATTACAAAAGTTCCCCTTTTAGTGTCAAACACAGTTAATTTAAAAATATAAAACGGCTCCGAATGTTATGTTTTACAAAAATTTTAGCATCTTGCAAGTTGCAGACGACAGCCTGAGTGGGCATGATTTCGGTTAGTTTTTATGAACCGAACTCGACATTCAGATTCGAGACCAAAATTGTGAACGTCTTACCTATTCACTGCAAGTAAATTTGTACACATTCGTACAAACCTCAGTTACGTTATCCAGTCGGATTTTCTGGTTGCTTTACCAAATGCATGTTTAGAACTGTAAACTTTGAAAACGTAAACTTCTGAGTTCATGACCCTCTTTATTGAGCATGCGCAAATAAAATTAACATAAAATTTAAATAAATTATTTCGAACGAGGCACGCCCCATTTCCGAATGACTGACGGTTGAAGGGGTCATTCGCGTTGTTTTATTGGCTAGCCACACAAAAGGGCTAATAGTATTCTGTTTTCTGGTTACGGCGTTGTGTTTATTTCCGCAATCTGATTACCATGCCCGTTGGAAACCACTAAAGCTTCAGTCAAGGTGATCGAGAAGGGAGCAGCTGCAAAAAAGAAAGAGATATTACCTGCCTTCCACATCAGAGTACCGGGCAACGATGGCTGCGAGCACGCAAGGAAGCTGGGTAAGCTGACAAATAATTGGATTTCGATCCAGTCGAAGAGATTGTTCTGTCACAGTAATGTCAATACACAAAATGTCGACCCGACGTGCTGAACAAGTTCTTATGTTGTTTTTCACAGTATCCATCTGGCTTCCATGGCCACTTTCGGAGCAAGATGCGAAATGACTTCGTTAACGAGTATCGAATGCAGGCCAAACCGTCACCGCCAATGAAGTTTTCGAGGCGCCTTTCGGTAAGTTTCCATTATTCGGCACCACGCTCTTGCAAGTTGCGATCGATCGCCTCGACCCGTGCCATACCTTTCATATACGAGAAAACCAAAGTTAAATGTTTCGGTTCAGTTGCCATATGATTGGTCAATGGAATGCTGTATAAGTTTTGACAACAACATGGCGTGACGATTGTTGTTACGTTGCCGGGAGATTCAGGGCCATGCTTATAAAAAAAATATATGAAAAACAACGTTGTCGGTGCATGGGATGTACAATAAAAGAGACTGGTCAGAGCAACCTTAGTACGAATAAAAAATTTACGTTTGACCCCGATACTTTAAATTCACTCACAACAAGAGTGCGGCATAAGATAGTTTGAGAAGAGAGAAATAATTCGTATGCGTGGGTATATATTTATAACTTACCGGTATTATATATTGTAACTTTTATAATAACACATTGTTAAATTGTTTATTCACGACATAATAATTTTATTATTTTTGATCCTTCTATCAACACATCATATCATTTTGGGGTGACCAGTAGCATTAATAATACATTCACAGTGATACCATACCATTACCGTAACAGCAGGTAACACAACTACGTAGTAGTCAGATTTCTCCAGACATTGTTGACTGTTAAGTGAACCCTAATAACATCTACCTATTTTCTTATCTTCTACCAAAGATATGAGTCTATTCTGTTAATTCCCCAGTCTTTAATCGTTGTTCAGATTTCTCTATTTATAAATGATAGTTTATCACTAAAGTTGTGTTTTCATGAACTCGGATTCTGGATTGCTATGTCAATGTGGCTCCATTGTGCTTTTTAGAATTATTTTGGCATGTGCAGCAACCAAAATATATTATAAAAGGGAAAAATATTCAACATATTTATCAGTGATAACAGCTATTACTTATTTTCAGTGTTAATGACCAATATAAATCACATGTAAAAGTGTTTTGACTAAAATGATCAATGAATTAATTATCTGAACTTTTTGAAAAGATCTACCGACATATTTCTATATTACTGACCAGATTGGTACATGACATGTAAATCTGTGTATTACTAAAAGTGCTGTGGTTATCAATATTCGTCATAACCATGTGACATAACATAACATGTATGAAATACACAGTTAGCTTACAGATAAATTCACACTGCACGACAACTGTGACACTTTGATTGTTTCACCTTTTGGAAGAGCTTGGGGATATATATATATATATATATATACAATTGCTTAAATACGCAGGAATTCTGTCGTATAGATAGTGGAATCAATATCAACCAGGTGGCGGTTGCATAGGTCCCGTACTTACAGAAGAAGACTCTCAAAGTGCTCAGACATTCTGAAGTGTAGTCAACAGGTGGCCATAAGTGTTAGAGATGAATTCATAAATTGAATTTATAATATTTAAAAAAAAAAATGTATATTCAACATAACTCTGTGTACTCTTATCTAGAAAATGTATGTAAAAGCCACCCACTAAAAAAAAAAAATGTATTTCTGGTTACAAGTTTCTAGAATATATAACATGATACTCATTATGGCAACTAGAAACAAATTTTTCGTTTTGCAATTTATGTTGAAAAATTCTGGATAAGATACTGAAAGTAAAAAGTAAGGCTGAAATATCATATTATTTAAATCTGTATAACTAACTCATTTTTGTTTTTGTTTTGATTTCCAACAGGAGAGACCAACTACTCATAACTTCTCGAAGCACGACAATCGGTTTTCATTTCTGAACACAGTAACTTCATTCCAAGATGTAAGTAGTAAAACTCATTCATATCTAAATGTTACTAACACTTTGTTTTTATCCAGCATGTGAGATTTACCAAGAATATAATGGATTCAAATAAATAGCAACTTTTCCATCGTTTGTTAATATTTTGCAAGTGAAAAATTTATATGACTTATTTCGAATGAATTGAATTTTCCATAAATGATTAAATTGACCATTAATAATTATAATGGAAAAAATGGGTGAAGTAAACAAAGTGTGTAGGCTGACAATAGTACATTATCATGTGTCACTGAATTCACAAATGATGATTTCAATTAGTATTTGACGACTAATAATTCAGTTAGACTCAACTCCATCTAAGCTCTGGGTTCAGTAAAATGCCTTTCAAATCTTGCCTATAATTATTGGTATGCAAGGCCTTAATCCTAATTCTATTCTGGCAAGTAGTGTCTGAATGGCCATTAAGGCTTCTCATTACAGTTTCACAAAAGTCTCTGGGTTTATTTATTTTTATGTTTTGCGAATAGATTACTTATTAGGCCAGACTTTTATTATCCCTTGTTTCGCGAACCCGCCGAATGAACAGAAGCCGAAAATGAAATAAAAATATAATTTTATTTCAGCGTAATTTCTCCCGCCCGCCGACTTGTAAGCGCAAAAAAATGCTAAAAAAATATTATTTTTATCTTCATTTTTTTTTACCGCCCGCCGCATAACAAATCCAAGTTGCATTTTCGTGGCAGTATCATGATCAAAGTACCAAAGTCTCACGCAGATGAGAAACAAGGTTATACATGGAATAAAATTTTATTTCATTTCTTCTCTCCGATCAATGATTTCACTTACAATTCTTTGAGAATCACACAAATCTAATGCAAAAAAAGAATTAATTTTATTTTTTTTCCGCCCTCCTCAAAAAAGTTGCCTTATAAAAACTCGCGAAACAAGGAATAAAAAGGTCTGGCCTTACTATACAAAGTCATACATGGGAAAAAAAATGTGATAATGTGATATTACTGAATATAGATTACTGAGTTAATACATGGGATTCTATGGGGGAAATGTAAAACATCATTACATCATGAGGTTTATCTTTGCAGTTTTTTAAACCTTCAGGTAATGAAGCAATGTCTAAAACTACATTAAAAAAAAAATTAAAAATGGGGGGTTTTGGACCTATTATAAAAGATACAACAGTTTTAGTAATTTGTCCTATACTTACACATGGGGGATAGAACGTGTTCTCGCTTTAAAACTCTTGTATTGTCCACTTCAAACCCTCTATGTCCAGGAAACAGGTTTGAGCAACCTTTAATAATACATCTAACTAATTTGCATACAATTAACATACACATATGTTTGATTTACTTTATATCCTTTATAATAGGTTAGTCAAAATTTTCTTGTTACCTTTCACACACACACACAAAGATTACGCATAATTTTTTTCCATATTTAAAAAAAAATTATAGACAATGATCAATAAAACAATGATCCAACATTAATAAAAGAAATAATTGAAAAATACATAAATTGTGCAAATTTTGGTGAAAGAAAAATATGGGGTTTTGAACTAGAAATGAAGTAGAATGAAAATGTAGAAGCTGTCAGTATAGTTACAAGTTGAGGTTCTGGATTGAATCACCTGTCAAATTCACAGGGAACACAGAGTTGACAGTCTGCATGCAAGCATCAATCAAACGCACATAGAGTGTAGGCTTGACAGTCTGCATGCAAAGCAAAGCCAAAATCCAACTTGTAAGTTAAGATACGCCCAAATTGTACTGTAGAGTTTACATCACCCATCAAACACACAGAGAACACAGCTGTTGTTGCTATGCTCATATTAAAACAATAAATCATTATAAACATCACATTCATTAAGAGCATCAATGTTACTTAGTAGCATTGGAATTTTAGAATCGTTTGAAATATTAAGAGTACACTACCGATGATACACTATACTGATTTGGAACTATTGATCAGTTCCAATGGTTGGGACATTGTCAGTCATTCAATAGAGTTGTTACAAGGACAGGTCTTCAGGGGACATAAGTAATTAAAATAAGTGCACAGCAAACTTAAATGTCTAAATGTTTTATCATTTATCGGATAGTTGTATACAGGTTATTGCAATTTGTTAGAACCTGGATATGCACACACTAATGTTAACCGTTTCACCACCAGTTCCCTCATTTCATCACAAATTCACAAAATAGTCCTGTTTATAGTCTGACCTTTCCTACAGAAGATTGGGACAAAAATGGCCCAATTTTTTGAGTAAAATCTGAAAATTTACTCAAATTTTGTCTGTTGGCCTCCAAATATAGGGTTAATTTCCAGGAATGTTGAAGAATATAAGAAAAAAGTACAGACAAATTTTGGCGAGAAATTTTGGTGGTGAAAAGGTTAGCAATTAATGTTCGTGGCATTTGAAGATTTTATCATTCTCTCCCTCTAATTGAAAATACAGGACAGTAATGTGTGAAATGAACGATTACCGGACATTTTAATGCAGAGTAACTTAAATGGCGTTTGAAATTTGCCGGACCTTCTGTCACCTGCCTAGGTTTTGTATTGTCACAGGGTCTTAGTATCCCTATGCCTATCATTTTGTATATAACGGGGACTATTTCTTCAACAGTGACCCAAATTAGTTCAGATTATAACTTGATTATTTTTTTTTTTGTCAGTTGACAATGATTTTTTTCAAATTTGAAAAATATATTTGTCTTCGAATGCATACATTACATTTAAAATCACACCCTTTTTAAGTCTCCCTGGTAACGTTTTGATACTACCTAACAGCTGATCAGCGTATTCTATTTTATTCTTATATTATATAGACCCTGAGTCCTCACTTGTCAAGTAAACTAGACTTCCTAACAATAGTCGGACTACAAGACACACCCATCCCCATTGTTGTCGCAGGCTCTTAAATGCACGTGCCCATATCAGACTTTTATTCTATTGTAAATATAGGAAGACTTAGCAATCGTGGCAGCCTTGTGTTTGATGGAATCCGTTCCTTTTAATGGGATGACTGAATGTGTCATTGTTAGGCATTTTTTTTGTATATTATGCCTTAGCTTTAAGAAGTTGAGTCCTGACTGTATTAAATTATACTAAGTCTTTTCTGTGTAAGCCTGTTACGGATAGAGGTTGACCGCAATGCAGGGAAGATTAATATATATTTGTGGGTCTTGTCAGGTTTGACTTAGGGTTAGCTCTAGTGGTAAACTAAAATTGTACACTAAATAACAATACCTTATTGTTGTTTCTTATTCCAGTTCAATTAAGAGACAGGCAGCTTGGATACAAGTTACCTATACGTTACAACTTTTCAAAAACACTTAATAATTTTTCATTTTATTTTAAACTGGCATATACTAGTAGTAGACACACAGAGCATTTATTTAACATATGTTGTATGCGTCGCATGGGACTCACATTGAACATAGCATAGTGCAATGATTATGTCGCCCTTAAATTTAATTTAAATCAAAATCAACGAGTGTTGTTTAAATTTATTGATCTTGACAGTGCTACTGTTAACAAATGTACTTGAGTTTGTTTGTTTTTTAAGTCAGTAAAATTGAGTGTCAGTGACTCTCTGAAATTTTGTCTTTACTGATAACCATAAAAACCCAAATCACAAAATAAATTTGTAGAAGTAAAAATTAAACAGTATATAATGGTTATTGTAATTCAAACTCATCTTGTATAGCATGGAATATTAATGTTATTTAAAGGGCGGCAGTCGTCGTGCCGCATCATGTTCGATATGGGACTCCTAGCGACGTATACAACGTGTGTAAAATACATTGTTTATTTACATGAAATTCGAACACGCGCTGCGCGACGACCAACGTGCTTTAAATGATTGCTTTCGTGTCAAGAATAACGGATTCAGTTTATATTTGAGTTTATTATAAAATTTATTACTATTTATTTATTATAGGGGAGACTCGAAAATTAATAGATTTATTTTGAGTGTGCGCATGACAAGTCTAAAAATGATCTAAAAAAATTTGCTCATAAACTCTATCAGTGTATCAAATATGCAGATGTTATAAATCTTAGCGTGCAGTGTGATATGATCTACCTGGTAACCAGTCATTACCCCATGAATGTTTTAATTTTACTTGCAGGAGTAAATACACGCCCTGTTCAGTGATTGATTTAAGTAATGAAAAAGATTTTACTGATTCAGTGTACAATAAATGCAATTATTAAAGATTAGAAATATGGTATATATATATATATATATGTAACCACACATATAAATTTATCTTATCCTCTATAGTCCCTATACATATTAATAATCAAAAAATAATGAATAACTTGATATTTGTTTTAATTGGTTGATTGTACGGGAAACAATGATCACAATTTATATTGATGTAATTTTTGTTCTGTAATTTATAAACTTGAAATGAACACACCCCCACACCTTATACATACTGGGTAATTCAGTATATATGGTACCGGGTATTTAAAAATAAACAATCCTCCATAGTTACCAGTGTTGGATTTAACTGTGAATAGATTTAAAGTGGTAATGTTGTGGCAGGAACAACACAGTCTTGAATATACATTGAGTGCTTATAATAGTCTATCAACACGGGGTAAAAAACAACATCATTCATTGCCAACTGTTTTGTTTGGTTAACGCAAACAACTTTAGTTTTTAACTTAGCAGCGTACTTATTACCCTTTTCATTGTTCGGATCAAGGTAGGAGGCAATGAGGTTATTGACTTATAGATGTGATGGAAATTTAGAAATGGAAAACTTAATTAATTTTAATACTTTTACAATTCACAGTTCTAGAAAATAATCAGAAAGTACATACTATTAACTGCCTGGAAAAATACGAATACAGTGTAATTCGCTCGTGCAAAATATATCCCTTAACAGGCCTCAGTGCTTTTATGAGAGCTATTTTTCACTCTCCAACCATTTTCAAAAGGCAAGGTCTGACTATGAAGAATAATATAGAAAATGTGGCCACTCTTGTGT